CTAACCAAACTGGCAATTTCTCGTTCACGTTCTGGGGCAGATCTAGCCGTAGCCTAAAAGTATCAACAATCTTGGATGGCACCACAACGGCTTATCAGTTTGATATCTACCTTGATCATGGTAGATGTCTGCGTGTCGGTCAACTTTTTGATGCAACGCTGTCCTGGCACGACGTGGCATACCTCTGGTGGCAGGTAAGTATGTTTCTGCTCCTGGCCCACCTAAAATCAAATGTTATGCAATCTTAGACCTATCATCAGGAAAGGAGTCGACATACCTGGAGACAAGGCAAATGCGGGTACTTCAGCTGAATACGATACTTGTCGTAAAAGTACTTTGCAACAGTGCACTCGATCGTCTGACCAGTCTCTAATTGAAGAGGAAAACTAAAAAAATAAGCAATGAAGAAGAATTATGCACAGCTTCTTTTTAGTAGTAGTAGCATCTGACAAATAATTCTCTCAGCAAGCTCAATTTCCTAATATGATTAATAATTAGAACATGTAGATGGTACTGACAAAAGAGTTGTTGACATACGTTTGTGTCTGTGCAGGCCTTCTTGTTACATTGCATACGCGATATTTACGACGCATAGTACCACAGTGGGTGATTTCAATCTTAAGACCACGAATTTCCTTGGTGAACTTCACGCGCTGGGCATCTGACAATGCACGACGTTCAGTGAGGGCCTGCAGATATAACTTTTCCTAGCAGAAGTGAAAAATACTTGAAAAGGCTTCATTTTAAATAAGATATGAAACAATAGATTCAAAGACCATCTACCTGCACTGGCAGCTCAAGTACTTCCGCAACAAACTCAATAACCGGCATGGATCGATAAAATGCCGTTGCAGAAACTGAAAATGGGGAGATAGTAAGAAACGAATAAAGCTGATTGATTAATAACTATACGTGCCATCAATATTGAGCATCATCTTCCATTGTGAGGGCCTTACTGACTGATGGAATCCAAACCATACTTCACGTCCTCCTCCAAGCTTACTTTCCATGTGGTACTGACCATGCTGCTGCGGCGCTTGATGAGGTTGTGCTGGTGGTGAAAAGAACGAACGGCCCACAGGGGTATATCTGAACAATAGAGTTATATAAAATGTTGCAGGTAAAGGAGGAAGGTTTCTCAACAACAGCAACAAATAAATAAAAAAAAAGATAAAAATTAATTGCTCACTTCAAACTTGGCAAATGTCTAAGAATGACATCCATGGCCTGCACGGCTTCAAAAGGCACCTGACGAACACGGCCTTCCATTGCGTCTTCAAGTGTGGAAAGAGAAACTTGACCTGCCCATTTAACAGTGACAGTGAATTGACGTTCCACTGCCGAATCACCCGGAAGAGTAACCTGATAGAAACAGTATGCACAAAGAAGCCAAGCAGCGAATATATGCATAAAATTAGGGTTAATAAACAAAAACAATCACCTCAAATTCCATTTTCTCTCTACCAATGGGTAGCGGCTCGCGTGTATACATATTCCTCTTTCCATCATACACAGGCCTTGTTGAGCTGAAGTACTTCCCGAACGAACGGATCATGCATAGAATAATTTCCCTAAAATGATACCAGATGAAGACAAGCTTCGAGATAAACGCTTAAAAGCTTGCAAGATGATATACATAATTACACTATTTTCAAAGCGTTAACATATTCAGTAGGAAATTGAGAAACAAAGGCAAATCACGAGAAGCGATACGCTTCCACCGAAGAAAGTTGCGCATGAGATGTTTTACGGAGCAAGTAGACATAAAACACTCGTAAAAGGAATCTAATCAGATTCTCTACAAAATTCAACAGCACATGGCTACAATACATTAGAGGATTATAAATAGTCAATAATTGATGACTCGAATCAGCTGCCCAATTGTAGACATAAAAGAGAATGATACTTCGAACGGTAAACACATGTTTTATAAAAAAAAAATGTCCCAGTGCGTCTATGACACTGTTACATAAGGAGGACAAACATCTGATTTGATTTTTTGGACGAATTGATTTGATTTCTAAGCCTGTTAACGACTAAACGACTATAACTTCTCGTCCCTCTCTAAATCTCTGTCATGAGAAATTAAGTACCGACATTATCAAACAATTGTATCATTTCCATCAAATTACTGAAAAACCAAAAAATTAATTACGCATAAGCTTTTCACTATTACTGCAAATGCTTCGTTGCTTAGTGATGATTTCTTCAACAAAACTTATGCTCCCTCAAAAGATTGACATTCGCGAAACTTCGTTTTTAAAAAGCTTGAGTCTTCGATCTTTATTGGAACTTAAAAATTCAAGTGAGTGAGAAAAAGCGCGACACTATATGGCAAAAAGCTGAAGGCGAAAGACAGAAAAAAAA